CCAGCGCATGACAGCTGGAGACCACAGGCACGCGAGGACTGGCCCAGGCTGGCGATCCACTGTGGAGGTCTGGCCCCATGCTCTTCACCCCCCAGGCAGGTGGAGGGGGTTTAGCAGCAGCCTGATGTGCACTGTGTGTGTCTGATTCCCACCAACACCGCGCATGGCTCCGGCCCATGGGTGTACATGCAGCGAGTGCCTGATGGGAAGTGGGGTCCAACCCAGGCCACACCCACGCAGGCCAGTCCCACTCTGCCAAGGGTCCCAGGCGTGTCATCTGGGGACAGCAGGCCCACACCCCGACCCCACCCTCTGCCCTTCTGTGCCAGTGTGCTGCAAGGCCTGGGACAGGCGGAGCCCTGCACACAAATGTTCTCTGTGGGCAGAGGCACCCTCGGCAGCATTTGGCCAGGACAAGAGGTGGGAGGAGACATTGGTGAGGAATGAGCTGAGACCTGGAGTCCTTCCCCCACCCAGGTACCTTGGAAACCAGGCAATGGATGCCCGAGAGGAGGGCCCTGGCAGCCACCTCCCCTGTGGGAGCCTGAGTGTGTGACAGGCCATGCGTTTGCACTCAGTGCCGGGGCCGACTGCACCCTCCCTGGTGGTGCCAGGGTGTCCTGCCCCGTAGACGGCCCGCCGAGTCTGGTTCACTCCAGAGGGGTCTGCAGATCTGTCTCTGGCCTGGCCAGGAGGTAGGGTGCTGTGGGAGCCGAATACAGCCCTGGGAGCCCCAGCACTTGGCCCGTGATGGAAGGAGGAGGGTGGACAGGGTGGGTTGAGCCGCAGGATCTGGGTCTTGGTGCTCCGGCCTGCTCTCTGCTTTCCGCAGGCGTGTGTTCCCATGGGATGTTTTTAGCGCCTCGATGCCTCTAGGAGACTCTCGACCCTGGTGCCATTTCACATCTCATTCATTTTCTATTCTTCCACCTCGGGCTTTTCATGAAACCACAGAGCTGCAGCAAGGACAGAGAGCCTGCCGGGACCCTTGGGGAAGGTTCTGTCAGCCCTGTGTGTGAACCATGGGCAGCATCCCTTTGGGGGGCCCCCACCCCGGGAGCACATGGTCACATCGCTCTTCCCAACTGAGTCATACTGCGCTCAGGGCCCCTACCCTGGGCTGCTCTCTGTGACGTCTCCCATGCACCATCCCAGAGCCCTCAGGGGACTCTGAAGTCTCATCAGATGTGGCTGCAGCCCCCACCCCCACCTCAGAGACCCCTGCCGCTCTGGGTCCCAGGCTGGCTCGCTGGCACGGAGCACAGTCGCCCTTTGTGGCACTTGCTCCAGCTGCCCAGGGAGTCGGGCAGTGGTGTGGAGCGAGGCTCAGCTCCCTGGGAACCCGCTCTGTCCACCCCTGCAAGACACAGGCTGCTTTAACTGGGGCCAGGCAGCACCCTCTTGGCAGGGGCAGCTGCTGCGTATTCCGTGCGCTTTCAACAGGCCTGTCTTCCCACTGGTAACGAGGACCAGTTTGTGCTGTGACCCCTTGCGTTCTTCTGACAAGGAAATCAAGGGAAGTATTCTCCAACAGTCCCCTCACTGTGCACACATTTCTCCTTGTGCTTGGAGACAGCCACTGTCTTCTGGGAGGTCCCCACACAGCCCCCTCAGCCGGGCCGAGCAGGCGGCCAGAGGGTCCAGGATTGGGAATGCAAGTGTGCAGCCGCCCAGACCCCACCTGCCCTGGGACTCCAGGCCCAGGTGTCTGTGCCACCGCCAGTATGAACTGGCGCTGTTGAGCTTTCCAGGGTGCCAGATGGGGCTGAGTGCTGGGAGCCCACTGGGCCGCATCCTGCGGAAAGGAGGGCACCGTGGACCAGCAGAGGCTAGGAAGGGTGCTCCTGGGTGGGGGGCTAGGGAAGGGTGCACTGGCACCAGGACAAACCTCCTGCTTCGGAGCCCCCAAGTGCCAGGGATCAGCTCGAATCCCATAGAGCTGGCTGGGCGAGGGCACTGGGGACAGCAGGGATGGGGCATGGGAACAACACCCACAGTGGACACAGGTAGGTGAGGAGGGCTGTCAGGGCCCCATCATGTTGACGGGGGATTCGGGAAGCAGAAGAGATGTGAGCTCAAGCTCTGATGAGCTGCCCGAGCGGGGCAGGGCCCTGGCCGGTTGGGACCAGGTCACACCTCATTGCAGAAATGAGGCCTGGGCTTGCTGGTCCTGGGTTCTAGTCTCAGCCGTTTTCTCGGAAACGTCGCCATGCTCTGACCTCCGCTTCCTGCTCCTACTCTGGGCACAAAGACACCCCTATCGGGCACAGGTCAAGGCTACCCACATCACCTGCTCCTGAGCACAGATGACAGGAGTTTTGTTTTTCTGTCACTGTCTCTGTGGCCACTTCCCCACTTGCACCTTCCTCGTCCCCATCCCAGCGTTTTAAAGGCGGCCTCTTGAGAATTTCTTAACTAAAAGAGGTTTTTTTCCGAAAAGTGTCAAGCTATTTGTAGCCCAACTTGGTTGAACAGATTTTTCTGGGTGTAGTTTATTTTTTTATTCATTAACTTCTTTTCCTTATGAATTAAAAAATAGCATTTTTTTTTCACACAGGAGTGTTTTATTTACTTCTCCTTGTACCACAGCCAGCAAACACCCACTTGGGCAGGCAGTTTTCCTCCAAGCCTGGCGCTGAGAAGAGGTATGTGTGTGTGTGTCCAGACCACTGCCCCGCAGCCCCTGCCCCTCCCTGACATCACACACAGACCCAGAGCTTGGGCATTTTGACGGACAGGACCCTCCCAGGGGTTTTGCCTGCACCGTTGGCCCCCAGGACATCAGCCAGAGTCTGAGAGCTTCACCTGGCAGAACTGGGGACACGTTCTACAGATCTGCTGACCTCGGCCCTGCTGGCCCGTTTTCCTGACTTCAGAAACATCTCATGTGGATACTTTGCCGGCAGAGCCATGGGTGCTGCCAGCCAGGGGGTCTCCTAGCTAGACAGGGCACGGCCTTGGTGGGTCTGTGGAGGGATTCAGGCTGTCCCCAGGCTCACAGCTGCAGGTGAGCACAGTTCCGAGGGAAGGGAGCAGACCGGGCCTCCTCCTTCCAGTCTCCAGCCTCCAGCCCCTTTGGGCATTTTGCACTAGGCGCTGACCCAGGGCCGTCCTTGCCTTCGCCATTCCAGGGAGCTGCTCCCAGTCCTATAGATCACACGAAGTCCACACTGGCTCGCCACGAAACGCTGGTCTCTAATTCATCTGCACTTCTGCAGATAATCTTTGGGATACGCTTGCCTTAATAAAAATAAAAATCACGTGTATGTGGAACACCTCACCTTTATTCATCTCCCATCTCCAGAGTCGTCTTAAAATCTATTACTCTTACGAATGTGCACCTCCCACCCTTTGTCCAGGCTACGCACTTGACCTGCTGTACACATCCCTCACGGCCAAGTTCAAACCCCTGACCCGAGGCTGCCTGGAGCCACCCTCCCCAGGGAGGGCCCGCACTGGCCAGGGCTTGCTGGCCCCATGGAGGACAGGGTTCCTGTCTCTCCTTCTTTATCCCCCTGTGTACAGGCTCGCGTGGGTCAGGATGTGCTAAATATCCAAGCACCGTTTTTCACTGACCAGCTGAACCATTTTGCAAAGCCAGGCCTTCTGAGATGGGATTTCTACCGAGCCCCCAGACTGATGCTCAGAAACCCTGCCTGGCCCCGTGAGCATCCCGCCTCCCCCATTTCTTTATTACAATTCCAAATTCCCCAAAGCTCTGAAACCTAAATGTTTTCAAAGCTCAGTGGCCAAGCTGGACCTGTGTAGCCATTTGTCGTGGTCTTTATTTATCCCAGTTTGTACAGAGAGTCCTCTGTTTCCCTACAAAAATATTTACGTGCTTGATTACGACAAGCAGCTCCAGCAGTCCCCACCCAAGAGGGGTGCCACGTAACATAGGCTATATATGAAAAAGTCTGAATTCCAAACACATCTGGGCCTGAGGCTTTGGATAAGGGGGTGGGATGCTGAAGTGTCCCTGCCCTGGTCACAGCTCTGGACTGGAGGCTCATAGTAGAGAGGGCTGGGCTTTGGCCACAGAATGTGGCAGAGTGAAGACTCTGGACTCTCTCATTTACTGAGCAAACAGCTCTGTGCTGGGTGCTGGTGACTCAGAGATGGAGGAGCCCTAGCAGCACCCCTCACCCTTCGCCCAGGGACCAACAGGCACAAGAAGGGTGGGGAGTAGAGGTGTGTTTCCCGGCTGTCCAGGGGTACCACCTGGGTGCAGCAGGCATGCTCCCTCCAAGGGGCCCTTTCCTGGGGAGGTGGTGACCACAGGCTTGATACTCCCTTTCTGAGGAGTCAAAGGCTTCAGATGTGCCACCTGGAGACACTCTGGGGATGTCCAGGCCGAGGGCACCTGGGACTGTGATAGGTACACAAGCCAGGAGGGACTCCTGTGGGTCTGCAGAGAAGTGGGGGAAGGGCAGAGGGAGGGGGCAGGGCCAGTCCTGTCTCACCCTCAAGCCCAGTTACTGTTCACAAATAATCCCATTTTACAGCCCAGGAAAAGAGAGGCCGGACAGCTGCCCAAGGCGTGTGCCCTGCAGCTGCCCAGGTGTGTCTGCTTCCAGAGCAGGTGTGCACAGCACCAGGCGGGCGGCGGCAGGGTAGCTGGGCGCGGCCTTCTGCGCAGGGCCGTGGCCTTTCCTGCCCTAGCCAGGAGGACTCCCAAGTCCACCGTGATGGAGTGAGGAGGGGTCCGCCGGCCTCGGCGGAATGGGCCGGAGCGCGCAGCGGGGCCATAGAAAGCCAGGGGCGGGCTCCGCAGAAGCGCCCACGACGAATGGTCCGAGGCCCGGCACAGACCAGGGTCCGGGGCAGGGCAGGGGCGCGGCCAGGTTGCAGGAGGCGAGGGCGTCGCCCGGAGGCGGGCGGCGCGGGGGCCGTGGGCGGGGGGGGGCGCCTGGGTCCCCGCCCCCACCGGCCGCGCCGGGTCGCGCGTGGGCGCGGCGGGCGCCGATTGGCTGGCGGACGGGCGGGCGGGGCAGGCGGCGGCGGCACGGAGGGGCCGGTCACCCCGCAGCCCGGCCCCGGCCTCCGCCGTTCGTCGTCGCGCCCCGCCCGCGCGCTCGCCGCCGCACGTCTCTCGCCGGCGGCCACCATGAGCACAGGCCTGCGGTACAAGAGCAAGCTGGCGACCCCAGGTGAGCCCGGCGCCCGCCCGCGTGCCCGCGCGCGCCTTTGTCCCCGCTGCCCGCCCGCCTCTCACGATGTCTCTCCGTCTCTCCCCCGCCCGCCGGCCGGGACCCGCCCGGACCTGGACCCGGACCGCGACTCGACCTCGACCCCGCAGAGGATAAGCAGGTACGTGCGCGCCGCCGCTCAGCCTGCAGCCAGACCCGGCTGGCTGTCACCCATTGTGGCACCAAAGCCGCTGGCCAGGCGCGACCCCGCCCCCGCCGGCCGTCATCCAGCCCAGTCCGTCGATTGTCAGGGGGCAGTGCTAGGACTTCTGGGGCTGCAGGGTGAGGGATGGGTTGGGGGGCCCTGGACCCTCACCCTCGCAGCAGGAGCCGTGCGCCCCACCCCAGCATGGGGGGATGGGCCAAGCGCTCCCTCCCACTGGTCCAGCGCCAGCACCTCCTAGCTGACCTGGCCTGTAGGCCATGTGCCTGGGGTCCTGGGTGAGGCCATGGTCGTGGCAGGCCACAGGCAGGGGTTGGGAGGGAGGAAGGGACTCAGCTAGCGCACAGCCCCTCAGCAGCCCCACAGGGCAGCCTTTGGCCACCCCACCCCACTCCCCTGCACCTTCATGCCCCGGCCCTCCCACCCACAGACACAAATTTCAGTGTACTGCTTTGTGGCTGGGCCTCTTCCCCAGCCTGGGAGCCTCCAAGGCCCGATCTGAGTCATCTTGGTGCTCAGCTCTGGGCCTCGCACCCAGTGGGTACATATAGGCTGTGGCTTCCCAAAAGGGCTGGCCTGGTCCCCACCCTCCAGGAATACAGGACTCCACGGGAGGCAGGCCTGGGCACCCACGCTGAAAACCCAGATGAGCTCAGGGTTCACAAAGCCGTGAGACTCTGAGGGTGGGGTGGGGGTTGGTAACCAGGTGGGCTGGGGACTCTGGGGTTGCCCTGCTAGTGGCCTTTCTAGCTGGAGCTCAGCCATGTTTGGAGAAGAAAGGAAGGGCCCAATTCTGGGATGAGGGTGGCCTTGGCAGCCCCCATCAGGGATGGGGGTTCACAGCAGCTACAGATGCTGGGCAGTACCCTGGAATCCCAGCTCAGGGTGCAGCAGGTAGGGCAGGAGAGGGAGAGCTGGAGAGTCACTGACTGCCCGGTGCCCTCTCCTGGAAGGGACGCGCCCTGCTGGGGATGGGTGAGGCTCATTGGGAGGGGTTCCTCTGGGGGCCAGCCTGGGAGCTGCCTCCCCATCGAAGCAGGTCAGACAAAGCCCAAGATGCAGGGACACACATGCCAGGCTATTGTTTAAGGGAGAAGAAAGGAGCCAGAGGCTGGGAGACCAGTCCCCATGGCTTCTCCTGGGCCTGTGGCGCTCCCAGCTTGGCCCGAGGGCACTCCAAAGCACTGGGCTGGGGGTCTGCTGCTCAGTACCAACTGGGTTCTCTTGCCCATTGCTGCAGGGATGGGGACCCCCTCCTGCTGAGGTGTGCCTCCCCCGGGGCCTGTGTCTGTCTGTTCTTTGAGGTTGGCTAGGAGTCAGCCTCACCCCATCCCCTGCCCCCAGGCCCAGAGGGAGAGGGCACTGTGAGGAGGGGGTGGGAACAGGACTAGGGCCAGGTGTTTGGGGTGGCCATTGCGTGCCAAGGGAGCTGGGAGTACTTGGAGCTTCACTGGTCCCACTGTTGGTGATGGTGGTGGTTTTTGTTGGGCCTCAGCCTGTCCAAACCGTCTTTTCACTCTGCAAAAGGGGGTGGAAAGGCAGTGGGGGGTGCTCTGTCAGTCCTCTGTGCCCCCTACCTCCTCTCAGACAGTGATGGGGCTCTTTCGGCTCTGGCTGCTGCTTCCAGAGCTGACTCTGGGGATTCTAAGAATGGAAATGCCTCGAGAGTCTCAGGCACGGGAGGGGGTGGGCGAGGCTCTGTCATATGGCTCAGGAAACCCTGAGGAGTGTTTGTTGTGCCTCAGGGACCAGAGAAAAGGGGTGGTGGGGCCCCTTCCTGGGGGCTCCCCCAGGGAATCCACAGCCCCATTGGGCCTGGTTGGGTGATGGGCAGGGGGGTTGGGAGCTGGGAATGAGACTCTTGCCCTCCTGAGCTGGGCCTCCCCAGAGGCTGTGCCTTACCAAAATGGGGAAACTGAGGTAGCCTGCCAGCCACAAGCTCCATTAGACACCTCCCAGCCTGAGGCCCAGGCCCGGCACTGTCTATCTTCCTGGAGATGCTATAGACCTGAGATGCCAGCCTGTCTGGGTGTGTGCTGGGCTGAGGGCTGGGTCCACAGTAGACCCACGGGTAGACGTTGGGTGGTACTCAGACCAGAGGCTTCCTGCAGGTGAGGACCGTAGTGGGCTGGGACCAGTGAGGAGGCTTTCTGGGAGCAAGGGCTGGGGGATGGGCTGGGGGGGGCTGGGGCTGCCCCTCTGTCCTACAATGAAAGAATCTCCTGTTCCCAGCTATAGACCTGCTCCTTGTCCCCATGTGCCAGCAGCCTCCTGGCCCCACAGCAGGACCAGGGCCTAGACAGGGTGGAGGTCCCTCAGCCTGCATGGGGAGAGGTAGGGGCTCTGCTCCCTACCAAGACACCCCAGCCAGTCTTGGAGCCTTTCCAGGGCCCCTTTTCTGCTGCTAGTTTATTGGGATTCTGGTGGGGTCCTGGAGACAGGGAGTGAGGAAGGATTTGGTGGCCCACAGAGAATGGTTTCTCCACTCAGGAGACTCCTGTGCTCCCTGGGGTGGCCGCACAGGAGTGAGCCCCAGCTGGCAGGAGCTATACAGTCCCCTGAACCCAGTTCTGTGGGTCACAGTGGGTGGGGAAATTCAGAAGACAAGGGAGTATTCACTGGAGCTGGTGGGGGACAGGTCCCACTCCACCCTCCCCATCCCACCCCCAACACCACCACCCCAACGGAGGGGACATCTGGGGGCCACGGAGGCAGCATATGGGTGGGTGGCGCTTTTTGGTGGGCTGGCTGGGGCTTCCAAGTTTGGGGGGTGCCCATTACTTGGGCTGCCCTCACCCCGTCTCTCCCTTTCTGCTACCCTTTAAACCACTCCTGGGGGTGGCAGTCTGGACTGCCAGAGAGAGGTGGGCTCTGCCCACTTCCTGTTCCCCGCATGTCTTGGGGCGCCACAAAGGAAAAAATCCTCCCAACACGCGCGCGCGCGCACACACACACGCACGCGCGCACTGGGGATGTCAGCCCCCCCCGAGCGTGGGCGGGGACAGGAGCATGCAGGGTGAGGCGAGCCCGTGGGCAGTTGAGGGCTGCCAGACACCGCCAGGAGGCTTTCGGGCGAGTCCGCAAGCAGAGACCGGCGTTAATGGGGCCGGCTCCCGCGGGTCGCGCGTGGGTCCCGGGAGCGTCCTCCGGCGCCCTCTGGCGGGCGGAAGCGGCGCCGCATCTCAGGGGGCGGGACACCCGGCAGCCACTGACCCCGCGACCCGCCGCAACCCGGGCGCCCCCTCCCGCCGCGTGCGCGGCCCGACCGCCCAGACGCCAGGCCCGAGGCTGCGGGTGCGCGGCGAGGCTCCGGGCCCACGCGGCGCCGCGGCCCGCCCGCGCCTCTGCTCGGCCCTGCCCTCCGCGGCTGCTCTCGGTGGCTCCGCCCGCGGCCCAATTTCTAGGCGACTGTTTCCCGGCGACGGCGGGCGGGGCCGTCTCCGCCGCTCCCCGCCGCGAGCCCCGCGGGCGCCCGCGTGGCCCCGCCTCCGGGCCGGGTGCGGGAGCCGGGCCGGCCTGAGGCTGCCACGCCGCCACAGTTCGGGGTGGGTCCGCACGGGCAGGGGGATGGCTCGGGCGGCCTCCGGGGTCGGTGGCTCCCCGGATAGGCGACGTCCCCTCTCCAAGCCTCAGTTCCTGTGTCCGCCAAACGGGGCCGAGAACGCGGCTTAAGGGCAGTACCGCGTATAAGTCCCTCGCGATCACCCGGCCGTCCGGCTGACAGAGTCTGGGGTCCGATCGCGGCCAGCAGGGTCGCGGGGGTCGCCGCCATGAACTCGCTGGCAGCGCCCCAGGACCGCCTGGTGGAGCAGCTGCTCTCGCCACGGACCCAGGCCCAGCGGCGGCTCAAGGTGTGTGCGTGGAGAGGGGGTACAATGGGGGGGCGGTGCGGGTGCGTCCACTCGGCCGGGACGTGGTAGGGGCTGGCAGGGCCGGGGTTCGTTTGGGGTGGGCGCCCAGGCCAGCAGGCGGGGGGAGGCTCGGCACCGAGGTCTATAAATAGCCCCTGCTCCGCGCCGCTACTGCGGCCACCCCCGCGGCTGGATTGGGGCCAGACGACAGGGCCTCCCACCCCTGATATTCTGCCGAGGAGTGAGTGTCCAGGCCCCGGGCTTCTCCCGCCCATAGGGCCTTGGGTATGTCTGAGGGGTCTCAGCCCTGCTGCCTTCTGCCCTAGGAGGAAGGACAGGCTTGTGCCTGCCGCTGCCCGGCATCTCCACCCCCCCACCCCGCCACACACACAGTCTCTGGTCCCTGCAGAGCCCTTGCTGAGGCTGGGGCAAGAATGCCTTCTCCTGCCACCCTCCTGCCTTCCCACCTCCCCGCCTTTGCACACGGGCCCTCGCCCTCGCCCCACTTCTGCCAGTGACCCACCCTTGGGACTGTGCTCTCTGCTGTCTCTGCATCCTGAGCTGGGTAGGAGACAGGGCACTGGGCTGCAGGAGGAAGCCCAGTGTAGCCCTGATTGTCCACTCCTCCCCCAGGACATCGACAAGCAGTACGTGGGCTTTGCCACACTGCCCAACCAGGTGCACCGAAAGTCGGTGAAGAAGGGCTTCGACTTCACACTCATGGTGGCTGGTAAGTGGGCCGGGCCCCTGGGTGTGGTGGCTGGGGCTGCTGGCCAGCCAGGCTAAGTCATGAGGGCCCCAGACCTAAGCCAGCTCTTCACTGTACCTGTGCGCAGGTGAGTCGGGCCTGGGGAAATCCACACTGGTCCACAGCCTCTTCCTGACTGACTTGTATAAGGATCGGAAGCTGCTCAGTGCCGAGGGTGAGTGGCCCCCCCGCAGCCCAGGCGCTGATCCCCAGACTCTTGCCTCGGGACCCCTCGAAGGGCCCCCTTCCAGGTCCAGCCCCTGCAGTTCTCCTCTCACGATGTGGGTCCCCTGGGACCAGGGCCAAGGCACCAGGATGAATGGGGACAAGGGGTGGGAGGTGGGGGTGGGGAGGCCCCTCCAAACATGCCCCCCGCCCTGCAGAGCGCATCACCCAGACGGTAGAGATCCTGAAGCACACGGTGGACATCGAGGAGAAGGGCGTCAAGCTGAAGCTCACCATCGTGGACACGCCGGGTTTTGGGGATGCAGTCAACAACTCCGAGTGGTGAGCACAGCCTGCCTGGGAACGTGCCCGAGGGCAGCCCTGGCAGCCTGGCCTCATGCTCTCTCCCGCCCCCAGCTGGAAGCCCATCACTGACTATGTGGACCAGCAGTTTGAGCAGTACTTCCGCGATGAAAGCGGCCTCAACCGCAAGAACATCCAAGACAACCGTGTGCACTGCTGCCTGTACTTCATCTCCCCCTTTGGGCATGGGTGCGTGGCGGGCACGGGGCTGGGCTCGGGGGGCCACTTGCAGTGTATCCGCCTGTGCCGCCCCCAGTCTCACCGCTCTCTCACCACGCCTGTGCCCTGGCTGCCCTCTGCAGGCTGCGGCCGGTGGACGTGGGTTTCATGAAGGCATTGCACGAGAAGGTGAACATCGTGCCTCTCATCGCCAAAGCTGACTGTCTCATCCCCAGTGAGATCCGGAAGCTGAAGGAGCGGGTGAGCCTCCTGGGGCAGAGGGGCCTGGCCCAGGACTCTGAGGCCCAGAGGACCAGGTGGACCTGGCCGGCCCCAAACCTGACAGCCCTTGCCCCACTGCAGATCCGCGAGGAGATTGACAAGTTCGGGATCCATGTGTACCAGTTCCCCGAGTGTGACTCTGATGAGGATGAGGACTTCAAGCAGCAGGACCGGGAACTGAAGGTAGCCATGCAGTCTGGTGGGGACAGAGTGACGGAGGTGGCAGGGTCAGAGAACCAGAGGCTAGAGGGCCTTGTCCTCTTCACACAGGCCAGAGGAGGGCCAAGCACCCAGGTCAGACCTGGCTGGGAACAGGGGTCATTTGTTGGGAGTAGAGGACCTATGCTAGGGCTACAGGGTGAGGGGCACCCATGTTCCCCGCTGGCTTGTGGTGGGTCATTTGGCCCCATGTAGGTGTTTAGTGAGTCATGGGGCACTTGCTCGGATCCAAAGGTGATCCTCTTCCCATGGGTCACCAACAGAAGGGCCCTGCCCAGTGGCCACAGGGCTGTGGCAGGCCCTGGCTCCCACCTAGAATTCTGAGCTCCCAGGGTGGTGGCTTTGGGTGCCTCAGCAGCTAGATGGTGATGATGGAGACTAAGCCAGGGGCAGGTGGCCATCAAGGCAGGAACAGAGTGCCAGCAGGGCCATCAGTACCAGAATGTATGGGCTCGGCCCTGGTGAAAAGGGGAGGTAGCTGGACAGGGTGGTTCTTGGTGCGGGGAGGAGGGCAGGGGGGGAGCATGCCTGGCTGGGCACAGCCTGGCAGAGGCCCTAGGGGTTTAAGCTGCACGGGCTCTGGCTTCAGCTGGCAGCAGAGAGGCCAGGATCCCTTTGGGGAGAGGTGGGTGATGGTGACGCTGGAGGGGCCGGTGCTGAGCACCTATGCCCCTCTCCAACCACTGACCCTGCGAGTGCGCTAACCGGGCTGAGCCCTTCCCCACTCCCCCAGGAGAGCGCGCCCTTCGCCGTCATAGGCAGCAACACGGTGGTGGAGGCCAAGGGGCAGCGGGTCCGGGGGCGACTGTACCCCTGGGGGATCGTGGAAGGTGAGTTGAGGCTTAGGGCATGGGGCGTGGGGTGGGAAAGCTGCCCGGGCCAGCGCCCACCCACCGCCTGCTCCTGCCACAGTGGAGAACCAGGCGCACTGCGACTTCGTGAAGCTGCGCAACATGCTCATCCGCACGCACATGCACGACCTCAAGGACGTGACGTGCGATGTGCACTACGAGAACTACCGTGCACACTGCATCCAGCAGATGACCAGGTGCCCCCTCACCCCTCCTGGCCCTGCCATCCCTGCTGCCCGTCCACACCTGAACCCTGCCCCAACCCCCAAATCAACCCCCAGCCCAGGGGTGTGAGAACCCTGGAGGGCGGGGCCTTGGCAGTGGCAGGGGTAGGCCAGGCATCCCCCAGCCCACCAGCCACCGAGCCTCCCATCCTGCCCCACAGCAAACTGACCCAGGACAGCCGCATGGAGAGCCCCATCCCCATCCTGCCACTGCCCACTCCAGACGCGGAGACTGAGAAGCTCATCAGGATGAAGGATGAGGAGGTTGGAGGGGTGGGGGAGGGGTGGGGCATCAGGGTGGGTGGAGCGGGGCCAGGCCTCCTGTCCTTTCTCACCCCTTTCTCCGCTGTCCCCACCCCCAGCTGAGGCGCATGCAGGAAATGCTGCAGAAGATGAAGCAGCAAATGCAGGACCAGTGACCCCACCCCAGCCCCGCATCACCAGGGATCTACCACCGTCTCAGGATGGCCCCTCCTACCCCTGGAGCCCGGCAGGCCTGGACTCGATCCTGGATTCACCTGGTTCTTGGTCTGACTTGGACCCAACCCTAAACCTAGAGTGGCCCAGATGGGACTGTTCCCAACCTGGAGACACGGGGTCACAGCCCCTGCTGACCCTAATTTATTCTAAGCATCAACCCCTCCCAGGTCATTGGTATCTGCTCCCGAGGGGCCTGGACAATAGCCCCTGCCCAGCTGGGCCCCCCTGGCCTTGGGGGATCAGGAATCAAGTTGGGTGCGACTTCTGAGATGTCCCCTCCTCCTCCCAGAATGTCAGAGTACCCAGACTTCAGGCCCCACTCAGGCAGGCACACAAACCGCCAAAGAGGGGAACGGATCCCCCAGTCCTGCAGAGCGGACTAGGGAGCCATGCTGGGCCTGCTCCCGCGGGCCACCCGGCGTAAGCTGGGACCCCACTTTGTGCCGAGGTGGCCCGGTCCTTCCTGACCTCCTCACTCACGCGGAGCGGGCGGGGTCGGACGGCTGCAGCGAATGGGAACCCTCCGGAGGCTGAGGCTGGGGGCGAGGAGGACAGGATGGGAAGCCTGTGCCCGCCCAGGGGCCTGTGCCCCTTCCCCATAGTCCCTGCCGGACCTGGACGGCTCCAAGGGCAGGGGGCGGTAGGCCATCCCCCGGCAACTTCCTGTGCCTGGACGGCTGCGCCCTGCCCGCACTTCGAGGTCTCCCCAGAAGCACTGCCGCGTCGTCGCCCCCAGCCCGGGGCCTCCCGGACTCCTCCACCCCCGCATGACCCCTCCCCTCCACACACTCTTTGCTCCGTTTTGTTTAGTTGTGAATGCTGCGTCCTGTCCTGGTGACAGGAGAACAATATTGGTGAACGTCGCAGCGGGTGTCTGAGTGCTCCGTGCGCCCCTGGGAGAGGGTGGGAGCGGAAGCCCTGGGGCCTGAGGGCTATGGCGATAGCGCGCTATCTGCTGTTGCAGCGCCCGTCCACGCGGCCTCGGGGTTATTTCTGGCCGGGCTACAGCACTGTGGTCTGGGCGGCGGGCGCGCCGGGGCCTGGTAGGGGCAGGCGGCTTTATCGCCCGGCTCTCCCCCTAACGCCTCCCGCACCAGAGCCAGCCGTGCCGCCGTCCTCTCGTCATGGGCTCCGGTGAGTCTGGGTCCGGTGGGGCTCCTTGTGCAGACCCAGGTTGGGAGACGCTCTGGTCGTTTGGGTTGCAGCAGGGAGATACCTGGGTCAGCCTTAGAGGGGACTTCCACATGGCGCGCGGGTGGTCAGGGTGGAGAGGCTTGCAGGCTAAGGTGGCCGCGGGCCTCGGGAGCTGGATGGAGCCGGGCCTAGCGCTCTGGGTGCACAGGGACGCCGCCCAGGTGCGCCGCCGGCCGCCTGGCTCACCGCGCGCTTCCCTTCCAGGGTCGCACGGGGCGCTGAGCTTACTGCTCCTGCTGCTAGCGCCGCCGAGCCGCCTGGCCGCGGGCTGCCCCGCGCCCTGTAGCTGCGCAGGGACGATCGTGGACTGCGGGCGGCGCGGGCTGACGTGGGCCTCGCTGCCGGCCGCCTTTCCTCCGGGCACCACCGAACTGGTGCTGACGGGTAACAACCTGACGGCGCTACCGCCGGGGCTGCTGGACGCGCTGCCCGCGCTGCGCGCCGCGCACCTGAGCGCCAACCCCTGGCGCTGCGACTGCCACCTGGTGCCGCTGCGCGCCTGGCTGGCCGGCCGCCCCGAGCGCGCGCCCTACCGCGACCTGCGCTGCGCTGAGCCTCCTGCGCTGCGCGGCCGCCTGCTGCCCTACCTGGCCGAGGACGAGCTGCGCGCGGCCTGCGCGCCGGGTCCGCTCTGCTGGGGGGTGCTGGCGGCGCAGTTCGCGCTTCTCGGGCTCGGGCTGCTGCACGCGCTGCTGCTGGCGCTGCTGCTGTGCCGCCTGCGGAGGCTGCGCGCCTGCGCCCGCGCCGTGTACCGGCTGTCGCTCACCGCCCCGCTGGTGGCGGAGCCCGCAGGAGCCGGCGCGTCCTGAGAGGAGCGAACTGGCGCTGAGCAACTCAGGCCTGCAGACTCGACGGGACCCTGCCGAAGAAGCCCTCGCCCCAACCTGGACCCTCCTCGGCCTCTGCCGCCGCCCACTCTCCTAGACCGCGCGGGCCCGCAGGACCGGATCCACGTCTGATAGAACTGCCGCCCGTCCTGCTTCTTCGCAGGACGGGCGCCCGCGCCCTGCAGGCTTAGGAGGTGCAGGGGGGTGAAGTGCAGCCCCCCTGCCGAATCCCTCTCCCAAACGCTGGTGCTGAATAAACCGTTCTCCTACTGATGTGGCCGGTCTCTGCACCACTGACCTGGAAATTCCCTTCAAAAAGCACCAGAAAGTGTCCAGGGGGCGGTTCAAGGGGACACAGTCACATCTTCACAGGTACCCAAACTGGCCTGGGGGCAAACAAGGGTCAGTGTGTGAACTCTCCCTTGCCAGACTTGGGGAGATCACGCGGGAAGGCATAGAAAACACTCCAAGTGAGGATATGGTGGGGCAGTGAGGACAGCATGGGGACAGTGTGGACACAGTGGGGACAGTGAGGATACAGGGCAATGAGGATCCTGTGAAACAGTGAGGACACTATATACTGGACAGTGTGGACATGGTGAGGACACAGTGAGGACAGTGTGGACATGGTGGGGAGAGTGAGGGCACAGTGGGGACAGTGAGGACACAGTGGGGACAGTGTGGACATGGTGGGACAGTGAGGACACAGGGCAGTGTGGACACGGTGGGGACAGTGTGGACACGGTGGGACAGTGAGGACAGGACACAGTGAGGACAGTGTGGACATGGTGGGGAGAGTGAGGGCACAGTGGGGACAGTGTGGACACGGTGGGACAGTGAGGACATGGTGGGACAGTGAGGACACAGGGCAGTGAAGACATTGTGGGCAGTGAGGACACCATGGGGACAGTGAGGACGGTCACAGCAGTGTGGCCTCGCAGTCCGAAGATGCTCAGAGTAGGGGTTCCCTGGGTGGTGCCGGGCTGTGAGGACACCCTGAGCACAGCTTAGGGGCTTAGGTGTCCCCAGTGCGGGGACCATGCTGTGTGGACAGTGCTCAGGGCAGTCAGGGGTGGGTTGGGGTTGGTCCCTCTGCAGGGTAAGGGTGGTGCGTGGGAGGTTGGTCCATCTGGGGCTCCCTGGGCCACGGGGGTGAGAAGTCGGCCGCTGGGGTATGGAGCTGTGGGCAGTGGGGTGCCTGGAAGGCCCTGCAGGTGTGAGTGGGCGCCAGAGGTCGCAGGGTCTCTGGAATAATTGTGTCCTGGAGTGAGCCAGGCTCCCCACCACCCTGAACCCTCCAGACACCCCCAAATCTCCCTCCAGTGCCGCCTCCTCATGCCCCAGGCTGTGTACGCTGGCCCTGCCTCCTGGCTAGGCCCTCGCACACGCTGTTCTTCTGCCTGGTAGGCGGTTCCTTTCACACCACCATTCCTTGTCTGTCTCCTGCACCTCCAATGAGTTCCCCCCTCGCTGCCACCTCCCTCAGAAAGGCCCCTCTGACACCTAGACCAATGAGGGGCTCCCCAGCTTCCCACTGCCCTCCACCCCCAGCATTCAGCAGCCAGGCCCTCCGATTCCTCCTGGGGTGCCCAGGTCGCCACAAGCTGCTAAGTAGGGCACGCAGCACCCAAATGAGGAGGTGACGCCTTCCTCTCTATTGCAGTCAGCCTGAGCAGTGCCTAGGACAGGGTCCCACTCCTGCCCTGGGTGTAGCCCCCATCCGTTGGCCCTGTAAACAATGGAGACTATTCTCCTGGGATCCCAAATGGGACCCAGAAGAGAAGCCTCAGGCCCCAGCTGCTTGGCACAGGAAGGCCCCCGGCCCTCACTGGCCACCACTGACCACCACTGACCGGGTCGGGGAGGCTGCTGCTGACACAGCCTTTGTCTCAGCCTTTGTGGGACAAGACAGATGGCCCTCCTGCAGGGCTGATGCTATCTTGAGGCTGCCGGTCAGACGTGAGGCAGGAGCCACCCCCTCCTTTGTGGGCAGGTGCAGGGCATCCGGCTCATTGTGGTCTGTAGCCGACTGTCCGGTTGTTCATCTGGCCTTATCGCCACGTCGAGGGGGCTGGCCCCCTTCATACAGATGAACTGTCCACCTTGCTCTCCCCCCGGGTGGCCCAGCACCTCCAGAACTCCTGGTGGAGGTCAGAGGTAACAGTCGTCACAACAAGGTACATCAGTTACTCTGCAAACTCAGTCTCAACAGGGTACAGGGAGCAAGTATGCTCCCCACTTTCCAGAAGAGGAAGCCAAATCCGAGAGGGGAGCTCTCTGCTGGGCCTCAAAGCTTTCTTTGTGTCTGCTCTGGGAGCAGAGCTGGGACAGGCCCCTGGGACTCCCCCACCTGCAAGTCACTAAGGCCTTCTGGGGGAAAGTGCAGGGCTCAGGAAAAAGAGGCTAGAGTCCTAGGTGACCCCAAGCTAAGCGAAGGAGGCCCCTCGGGCTGTGGGACAAAGCCTCAGCAGGGACAGCAGGAACTGGTCCACAGTAGGTTAAGCCCACTGCCCACAGTGTCTTGATGCCAGTGTCTCGATGAGAGGGTGGCCCCGGGGCCTGAGGGGCAGAACTCAGGAAGCAGGGGGGCTCCTCTGATGGCGAAAGCTGCTGGAATCACAGTATGGTCAGACATAAGGAAGAACTTCCTGCTCACTGGCCAAAGGGGCAGCTGAGCCCCATGGTTCCTGCAAGATCTACCCTCATGGTGGTTCTCTGTGGTCTAGACAGGCTCGTGCCAAGGTGCTGACCTCAGGGGCCACCAGCCTGGCCTGTCCAGGTAACCTTCTCAGGCTGCCTGGGAGCCCCCAATCCCAACTCCTGACCCTGAGCTGACCCTCCACGTGCTGACCTTGAAGCCCCAGCCTCAGGAGTGTGGGGAAGTGGATGGTCCCAGCTCAGCGCCTCTGAATGGCCTTGCGGGGCAGGGGAAGTGCACAGCACTCCCCACTGATAAGCTGGTCCCTCTGTGGCCCCAGACCGTGCTTACAGATGGGAGCAAGAGGAGGGCCTTCTCAAGGCCCTGCACAGACAGCACACCTCCAGTCCTCGGACTGCCTGATTCAGAGTCCTTTGCCCCGCAGCCGGAGGACCCTGTGACCACACCACCACCCACCCATCTTCCCTGGGCTCCCAGAACCTCAGCCCAGAACGAGGGCCAGCCTTGGTGGACCCTTGCCCACAGGCCATGTCCACCACCCTCCTTTGCTTCCCAGCCCCACCTGGCCCTACACATGGCTCAGGACACTGTCCACGCCTGTGTCCTCAAGGTCCACCTGGGGCTCAGGTTTGTCTGGGGCCTGCACACAGCCAGCTAGTGAGTAAGTGGCCAAGGGGTTGGATGTGGCGAGCCCCAGCCGGCCCTATGGTGGATACAGCTGTGACCTTCCCCAGGCCCAGCACCCGGCGCTTTCCTCCCCTCGGGCGCTCTACTCTGTGCTGGCACCAGAGGGCGCCCGCGGTCTGCGGAAAACGCCGAGGCGGGGCGAGAGCGGACGGGGGGGGCTTCGGAGACAGATGACTCGGTCCATGGGGACACGGGGGCCTGGGAAGTGGGGGGCGGAACACGACCAGGCTGGCGGGGGCGGCCCTGAGAGGGACAGGAAGGTCGCCCCTCGTGGGGACGGGCAGGAGGCGCCGCGCGGCCGCCGACAGACGGGGCGGGTGAGCGCGGACCCCTCGCTCCCTGGGCTCCCACGGGCTGTCACCTGCGAAGATAAGGGGCCTCTTCCGCTGGCGCGGGGATATCAACCATGTGCCCCCTCCCGCCTCCTACTGGTGTTTGCTCCATAAACACCGGGCCCCTGCTGTGTGCACCTGGGGCGGGGGGCGGTGCGGGGCCTGAGCTGCTCGGTTCTGCCCCAGGACGGCCCAGGGCCCGGCAGTGACTCGGGAAAAGAGGCTCCGCCACTTTCCACCTTCCAAGCAGCCGGGGTGAGGCCTGAGCGTGAGCGCGGGTCCTGCGTGGGCCTGTCCAGCCTGGGGAGGGGCGGCCTCGGGCGGGCTGTCCCCCACCGCGGAGGCCTGAAGGCAGGGTGGAGGGTCCTGGGAAGGTCGGGGGCAGGGGGGCCAAGGCTCTGGCCACGTGGGGGGGACCGCACCCGCTGCCCAGACGGAGCAACAACATTGGGGTGGGTGGCAGGGCCCTGGGGGCCCATAGCTCAGCGCAGCGTCTGCGCCCACCCCCAGCGTTTCCGATGGAAGACAGGCGGCTGGTGATAAATCACCCGCTCCCACCCCCACCCACCGGCCACCGTGGGGAAGGGGAGCAGTGCGTGACAGAGACAGGGCCTGAGACAGAGAAGAACCAGGCCCAGAGAGGGAGAGACAGGGCAGAGATGGCGGTGCTAATACCGGACAGGTCCCTTGCTGAGGCGTCTGTCCCCCCAGGAACCCCTCCACACAGCCCATCTGGAAACCAGCTGAGAGCCACCCTACCCCCACCCCAGCTGACCCCCAACAGGGAGGCAGAGGAGGGAGGGAGGCCTTTGCAGCATAGCTCTGTCCTCCCCAGGACCGTAAATCAGCAACGGCTCTGGGGCAGCACTCCCCCAGCCCAGGGAGGTCTTCGGGGTCACTGGTCTGGTGACTGGGTCTGGCCTTGACTCTGTCCCTCCCTCCTTAAACAGCCCTTGGGGGATCCCCCAGACCCCCCCCAGCACAGTCCAACTGGCCTAGAGCCATCTACACCCAGTGCTGTCTACGTGGTATGCACACCTCACCTCCCTCATCTCTCTCTGCAGACAGAGTGATGCTGTGTCCTCACCAGGAGACCCCTGATGCCGGCCCATGGGAACCTCCCCAGTGAAGCCTCTTGGGGGTCTGCTCTGCCCCAGGGAAAACACCGTCGGTCCCTCCTTCGTCCTGCCTTCCTGTCACCACCCCCCAGGGTGCCGTGGGCCGGCTGGACAAAGGGTGCTGAGAGACCAGCCAGGTGGGTCCCCAGGTGAGAGCACAGCCCTCCCACACACACAGGGCAGGTG